TTTTAAAATAATTTAGATGTAGTTTTATCACTTGATTGTTATGATGAAAGCAATAGAGTTCAATTCAATAGCTCATATCTTTTAATTGAACAGATTCTAGAAGTGAGAGTTTTTAGAGGCAGTAATAGCTACGTTGGTTGCACAATGGAATTTTTTTAACGATGTAGAGGAAATATTTGAAATAAATAAAGCTAATTAGGAATCCTGAGGGAGTCCATTATTTGAGCGTTTAGGTTTGGTAGATGAGTTTTCCGAGAATTACTGCTTGATTAAATTCTTTAATAAAAATCGTTGACAAAATATCTACCTTGTGTAACCTTGCAAAGGACCTCAAGAGCATTCATACAATCAAAGAGCGCAAATTAGAATATACGAAGTATATCACGAAAAATGAGCATTTGACTTGTTTCAACTCTTTCTCGAGGACAAGGTGTGTGCGAAAAAGGACCAGGTAGTACAAGAATTTCTTGGTTTTAAAATCTGTGAAAACGATTTAACGGCGTCTGCAATGGGACTACAATAGATGCCAACAAAGTAAGAAGAAGACAAAGTACTACATAAAATTCTTAAGATTTTTTTAACTACGCATCCAATATTAAAACACTTAAGTTAGACTATTGAGGTCAAGTCTAAACTTCCGTCATCGTTCTCTTATAAATATATGTGCGGAGATCCTACAACTTCTTGCCGCATCTCGAGGTGATTAATAGAGTAAATAACATCATGCTGCAAGGTACTGCTCATCCATAGGTCGTTCCAATACACCCAGCGTATTCTAGTTTAAGTCACAGATTCATTTGGATTTTATTCTAATATAATAAACTTTTGGTTTTCTGGCTAGAGTTTAAGCCGTCGATCCACTAGACTCTAGATCACTAACAGTGAAGTGAGTGCGCTCTTAGCTATCTGAGCGAATTTTGTGAATACATTAAAATCTTTAAAATCTGCGACATTGTCAATAGGCATGTTAAGGTTGGACATTTAATTGTAATGTTTTGGAAAATGCCATGTTAACGAATCACTTTGTAAGCATTTCAAAGTTATACTTAGAGAATAACGTAGAAATTAGATCAATGTAATTTATTATGATAGATATTACATGATAATATATAAAAATGGTTACGTTATTACTATAACTCAGTAATTGCCATCATCTTAAGGCTCATTGTATTATAATTATATTACTTTTTAATTTGTGTTAATTAAATTTCAAAAATTTTACAATTTTACCTCTATTGTAGCATATTATATTATTGAATATAGAACATATTAGTTTAGAACATTTTGTGATTTATGTGTCAATAACGGACTGAATAAAAATTTAACAAAAATTGTTTTTTATTTACATTTAAAAGTTTTTTATTTATTTATATATTTTTTGAAGTTTTCATGAGCTATGAAGTAGATCTAACTGGCAACGATTCACTGAAAAATTAAAGTGAAGACTGAAAAAGTCCGACGTATTTATGGTTCCGTATGATAGCCCAGGCGAAGTGGATTAAATTCAGAGACAATAAAGCTCCAGGAATCGATGAAATATGTTTGGAAATGTATAAAAAAAGGTGGTGATCAACTTTTTGCAGCAATCCACAAACTAATAGTACTTATGTGGAAGAAGGAATGGGTACCAGAAGAGTGGCTGAAGGGAATAATATGTCCGTTGCATAAAAAGGGTGATCAACTGGAGTGTTGAGCACCATACTTTTGAGCAAGTCGAAGAATTTACATATCTTGGATCGCTGGTAAACGCAACAAACAGGACAAGCGACGAAATTAAAAGACGCATATTAATAGCAAACAGAACTGTTCACGGTCTCCAGAAACATTTAAAAAATAAAAATATAAAACGTTTAGTAAAGCTTAATATATACAAGCATGGGCGCCCATAGGGGGGGGGCAAGAGGGGCAGTTGCCCCCCCCCTCCTATCATTAGTAATATTATTTAAAAAATCAGTATGTATGTAAGTATATTTAAAAAAAATACATTATTTACGCACATTGTGGCGAGAAACTTGCAACAATACCTCAAAACAGCAAACAACCGGAAACTAATCTAGCGAAATACCGAGATATGCGGTAGGTACTTTCTTAACAATGCCTCGAATGTAATGCAAAGAGGGATTTTGTGATGTCGTAGGTATCAAGCCTTAATTGGTAGAAAGTGTACCTGTATTTCAATTGAAAATTTAAATCCTCTTATTAATATCTGTAAATTTTTCCCTGTAATCAGAAAAGGTTTTTGTTTTCTAAGCCCGTTTTATAGAAATCATTATCTTCTTAAAATTTGTCAATAAGTTCCTTGTTATTGTTCTGAAGCTATTTTCTTGTGGCATTGTAAATTAATTACTATTTATAACTGGAATAAGCCACATTAAAGATAAAAATACATTTATTGACGTTTCAATTTCCACTTCGGAAATCGTTCTCAAAATACAAAATACTATTTGTATTTTGAGAACGATTTCCGAAGTGGAAATTGAAACGTCAATAAATGTATTTTTATCTTTAATGTGGCTTATTCCCAGTTATAAATAGTAATTAAGTTCCTTGTGTTAATTTTCGTTCTTTGAATTTTTCAATGTAATTTGAATATTATTTCTTAATTATTTTCTAAAATCTCTAATCGTCCACTTCCCGTAATGGCTTGATAATGATCTGTTCAAAATTCAACTTATCTGTATTGTCTCAGAAAATAGGTAGAAAGATAGACTCGGGCAAACTTAAGTTTGGGAATATGATTCATAACTTGACGATGCGCAGTGATTCTTATTTACTAGGGTTATCATACCATGGAAACGTCCATGGAAACAGCCAGTTTGCTGTTGGCCAGTGTGGTAGTTAGAAGAGCTTTACGTATCTCAGAGAGTGTTGACTTGTGGATTTAACGTCTGCTGAACTGATAAAAAACATCCATCGTGGTAGGTAAGTGTTTTTATAGATCCCATATTAAAATTATTAAAAAATACTTATAGTACGGAAGAGATTGCGTTGCGTTTCACTATTTCTGGGAATTTTATACTGAATAAATTAATTTAATTTATTAATCAGCATAACGAGCATCAGTTGCTTGTTCCGTAGCGGAGCTGAAGATGATAACGAATAAAGGTTAAAAAAAAGAATCTTGACATGTTAACTATGTGTATGCAAAATTTCATGTCAATCCAAGCGGAACTTTAAAATTCTTAGCAAAAACTGTGAGTGACTGTACTATTATAAAAGATACCAACTTTCATGTGCTGTTTAATTGTACAGTTTTACCAATACTTGAACAGCTGACGTATAAATTCGTAAACTATTAGTGGCAAACTGTTATTAAATAAAATTAGTAATCAACGCGACCTCTTGTACTGCTGTCCTGGTAGTACTGGCCTAAAATAGATTTCTAAAAAATGTGTTCATACTTATTTTAAGTTGCAGTAACAACGCAGTGTTAAAAGGCCTTTACCAAATACCTCTGGATCCTTGGCTGATGAGCCTGCTTCGAAAAAGGAAACCAAGTTAGGGAAGTTAAAAATCCGAATGCTGCTAAATCAAAAAATATAACTCCTAATATCGCAGCAGGAACGTCAAGTGAAATTTCCGGTTCGGTACATATTGAAAACTTTGAGTTCGATATCGGTGATTTTATTGATATAACTATGGCTAGTAATCTAACGGACTCACAAAAATACAATTTAATTACAAATATACCTAATCCAGATCGAAATTTTAACTTTAAGTTAAATTGCAATAATGCCCAAAAAGGCAGGTACTTTAGATACGAATGGTTTAATCAATTTCCGTGGATAATTTATTCAAAAAAATTACAAGGAGCATTCTGCATACATTGTGTGTTATTTAGATTGCCTGTAAAAAGGGGATATCAAAGCCTTTGTAAGCCAAAGATTTGTAAAGCTTATAATAAATACAAATAATTTCACGAATATGCAAAATCTCATGAAAATTCCGAATGGCGTAAAGAGAGTCTTATAAAATCTAAAAGTTTTATTAATGTAATATCGCAAAAAAGTCTCAGTATAGATTTGCAATTAAATAAAGCAGTTAATTTAAAAATTGAAGAAAATCGATCTAAATTGTTTTCTATTCTTTCAACAATCGTTCTTTGTGGAACGAGCGATTTAGCATTGCGTGGAAAAGAATCTAACGATGGGAATTTTGTAAAACTTCTTAATTTCAGGGCCGAATCTGGTGACATTCGTCTAATAGATCATTTAAAAAGTACAAGTGGCAAAGAAAAATATACTTCACATAGAGTTCAAAATGAGCTAATAAATATATGTGGCTTAGTTGGTCGACGGCAAATTATCGAAAAAATAAACCATCCAAACATAATCGCATTTTCCTTGCTTGCCGATGAGACTGCAGATATATCTGGAGTTGAACAACTATCTATTGGGGTGAGATATGTTGAAAAACAAACAGTTACCATTAAATGAATTAAATGCTAAATCAATAGCACTTGAAATTTTAACATTTCTTTCAAAAATTGATTTAAATGTGAAAAAATTGGTGGGGTTGGGATTTGATGGATGCGCGACTATGACTGGTCACGAGGATGGTGTTCAAAAAATAATTAGAGAAAAACATCCCAAAGCATTATTTTTTCATTATGCCTCACACAAATTAAATCTGGTTGTTAACGATTTAAATACTGTTAGAGAAATTCAGAATTGTGTGGGAATTATTAAAGATGTCATCAAATTTTTTCGTGATAGTACTTTGAGACGGCGATTAGCACCAAACATGCCTTTGTTATCCGAAACTCGCTGGTCATCAAAATACAAATCTATTCGAATATTTTCAGAAAATTTTATTGAAATCAAAAATGTTTTAGAAACAATAATAGCAGATAACAAATTTAATTGCTCAACAAGATCAAGAGCACAGCAGCTTTCATGTGCCACATCTGATTCCACTTTTATAATTTCCCTAAATTTGATTTCCAAATATTCTTCTTTTTAGAACCCATAGTAAACATTTTACAAACTAAATCAATAGATATGCTGGCAGTTAAAAATCATATACAGTTATTTCTTGATATGATAACAAAGCACAGACAAGAAGCGAAAACAACTTTTAAAACAATTTTTGAAAAGAGTACAAATGATGCCAAATCTCTAAGTATTACCCTTGAAAAACCACGAATCGCTCATAGAAAGCAAACACAACGGTCAAACCATGCGGTTAATTCCACTGAAGACTTTTTTAGAGTGTCATTATTTATTCCGTACTTAGATTCTTTAATTAGTTCTCTTGGTGTCAAATTTTCAGAAGACAATAATCCTGGTATGTTATTGTATAACATCCATCCCAAAAACATAATAAAATTAACTGAAGAAGACATCGCCAAAATAATAGAAATCATAAATAATTTATACAAAATTACTAATCTAAAAGAACAGGCATCATTGTGGCTCTATTATTGGAAAAATCAAACCAATTTAGATGTAGAAGATATTTCAATGATAGAGCTACTAGACCATTGTTTATTTTACCCAGCTATAGCCCAAGCTATAGAAATGTCTCTGTGCCTTCCTCCCACTACATGCACGATTGAAAGATCATTTTCAACTCTTCGAAGGGTTAAAACCTGGATTAGGTCCACTATAAGTGAACAAAGATTAGATGGACTATGTATGATGAGCGTTCATAGAAATAAAATAGAAAACAATCGAAATAATTTTATTAAAAAAGTAATAGATGAGTTTGGACAAAAGCCCAGAAACCTTCAGTTTATCTTTTCACAAGATACAGAGCACTAGCCTTCAATATCAAGTTTACTTTTTACGTTTTGTTGGGTTTAACATTTAACCATTTTAGATTCTATTGGGAAATTACTCGTTTCAATAAATTATAATACATACAATACTAACTGAAAAAAAAAATGTTAATTTGTTTATAATAAATTATAACAAATAAATTTTTAATTAAATTTCTTCAATTGTTTACAACATAGTACAAATTTTTAATGTCAAATATAAATAAGTTGGCATCCAGCGAAGTATTTGAAGATTGCACACATTTGACTATTTATGCAATTTCGGCTAAGCATGGTAGTAGAAGGGTGTACACCCTACCCTAACCCTTTCAACGTAGTACAGTTTTGAATATTTGTTTTACTTTCCTAGTAAAAGAAATTTTTCAATTCAGATATTATGTTACTTACATATTATTTAAACTACACTATTGCTTGTGATGCATTTCGTATCTCAGAGTACCTGCTTTTTTTATTACTATTTTGTAACATCCTTGCTTAAAATTGATTGTTTTATTCCTACATAAAAAATTTTGTATAATAAAATTTGTACGTATAAAATCATACCATAAAATATGTTGTTAAGGCCGTTCCTTGCGTTTTTAGGCATAGCTAAGTTCCAATGTAAAAGTTTATATCAAATAACGCAAAAACCATGGCAGATATTGAGATGATTCTTTTTTTTTATATGGAAGGTCTTAAAAAGTTCTAGTGCACTATTTGGTAGTAAATTAATAAATTGTTTAAACAATATTTTTTTTTCAAATATTTTTGGTTAAAATAATCGTAAAAAAATTTTTTTTTGAAATAGGGCACTACAGAATTTGACCCACTTTCCGAATCTGTTTTTATTTTTAACATAAAGTGTAACACAAAGCAGCTATTTGGTATAAACTTTTTTAAAAATCTCAAATTTTGCTAAATGTAACTTTCTCTCTCAGCCAGTACAGGCTGTCCTTGTCGATAGTTTCTGGATTCTCGCCGACGGTTAGGTTGGTTAGGTAAGAAGTATAATACCCTCTCGAAGGTGGGTCATAAATAATGTTGAATGTTTATTTCGACTTTTGACAAACCAGTGTGTTAATTTTTTAAAATGGGTAGTTCACGAAGACGTTTATGTTCCGATTAAGGAAATTTTATATAAATAAGCACTAAGTACCTATAATTTAGTTAAATTTATATATGAATAGAAATATTTTGTGTTAATTTGTGACATTTTCCTTCTAAAGTTTATACTGTTTTTATAATAATACTATTGTTTCAGTATTTGCTTATATAATAATAATTTATTACGTAGAAACAGCGTAGAATTTTGGTCAATGAGCCAGTACATTTTTTTGTATTTCAATCAGAATTATTATTTTCTTTTCTTCTTTACATAAAAACTTAGAGTAATGCTCTTTGCAGTGTTTGAATACGGAATTTGATTATTTATATTTATTGGACAATACTCAAATATTTTGCTGTATTTGAATATGGAATTTGATTATTTATATTTATAGGAATATTTATTTTGAACGTTTTTGTTAGTAAAGTTTACATAATATATGAAGTTTGTTTCTTCACCTGCTTGTCCAGCCATATTAGTCCAGGGTAATAAGGATTTTCTCGTGACACTCAATAATCCAGGTAGCTGACAACTTTTTTAGTTATTGTAGACCTATAAGAAGAAAACCTACCTGTTCCCTGCGTAAAGTTCAGAGCCGTTTTTTAATGATTAACAATTTAATGCAAAAAACGCGATTCTTTCGATTTTTGCACTCTATTCTTTATTTATTTATTTTTACGCACAACAGGCCGTTAAGGCCTAGGGTATTTTTTTACAACATAATTCTAATATTAACTAATTACAATTATTTAAAACAAAACTTTACCTTAAATATGTATATATAACATTCTTAACTACTCTGATGGACCTGGTGTAGACTAAATTGATCTGATATGTGACCCTGTCAAGCAATTTCATACGTAGAGTTATTAAGTGTCATTTTAATTAGTCGAATTAGTTTCTTTGTTATACCCAAATGTTCCATTGCTTGATACATTTTGACTCTATCGACTCATCATATGCTTGTCTAAAATCCACAAACAAAACATGCAGGGGAACTTTACGTTCATAACAAGTCGTTTGTATCTCCTTTTAGAACTCTATAGTTCTTACAATCCAGTTAATCGTCCTTTTTATGCAACGTATATTATTTCATTTAGCCACTCTTCTGGTACCAATTCATTTTGCCATATAAGTACTGTTAGTTTATGGGTTACTGCAAAAAGTTGATCATCACCTTTTTATATATATTTCCCAACAGATTTAATCGATTCCGGTGGCTTTATTGTCTTTCGAGTTTTAGGACGGCATTTGACACTTCTATTATTGTGGGTGTTCACTGTGTAGTTGTCGATGTAGATTTTGTTGATTGTCTATGTTGTAACCTCTTTTAATATCGTGTATATCATATATTATATAAATATATAATTATATTATAATATAATATAATAATAATGTACTCATTCTTCTTCTTCAAGTTCCACTCCTATCGGAGATTGGAAATCATTCTGGCAATTATAATTTTGTTGGTTATGCGCCTGAATAGTTCAATTGAACTGCATCCAAACCATTCACGGATATTGCGTAATGTGCCCCAAGTATTCCAATTTCCTGATTTTTATGGAATTTAAAACTTTGCATTGTTTTCCCAGTTGTTCGAGAACTTGTTCGTTTGTTTTGCGATCCATCCATGATATTTTTAAAATACGTCGGTAACACCACATTTCGAATGATTCTAGGTTTTTAATGTTGGATTTTTTAAGTGAACAAGCTTCAATCCCATATAAAAAGGTAAAGAAAATATAACATCAAAGCATTATTATTCGGAGCGATATATTGATATCGCGATTAGAAAAAAGTTTTCTCATTCTATTAAAAGTTGACCGTGCAATTCCAAAGCGGCATCTTATTTCTTTTGTCTAATCAGTATCTTCTGTGATCCATGCTCCAAGGTATTTGTACAAAGATATTTGTTCAATTTCTGTATTATCTAGTACTAGCTTAACGTTGATGCTTTGTGCTTTTGTAAATACCATGAACTTGGTTTTCTTCAAATTTATTTTTAGTCCAAAAAGTGTACCTATAATATGATATAATCTCTATAAAATGTCTTCCGACGTCCATTTTTCATTCAATTCGGTTGTTCTATTGTTCTTTAAGTTCTTTTGAGCTCACTAAGTTTCTTGTTCTTTCCATCCGTGTTTTCTAAGGTAATCATCTCTTTTGGATTCCGGTAGGTGTTCATACAGGTACTTGTTTTAGGAGTCTACTGTCTTTCATTGAGCTTGAGCTGTGCCAAAACTAAAAATAATCCTCCTTATTGCTTCCACTGAAATAAGCTTGACCATTTAACTGGGCCCGGGTTATAGATACATTGTTACCTAAAGAAGTGAAAGTGGTTTAATTTAGAAATTATATAGTAAATAATAAATATTTGAAAACTGATGCACATATTCCTCCCGCGATTTGTGCTTCAAGTACTAATTTTATAAATCGCACTTCTACTAATAGACGTAAATCCTTTCATTTTAATTTCATGAATGTTTTTATTCAACATTATTTCAAAACCGCACTGAATAGAAGGTCGCCCGCTCGTTTATTGTATAGACCCAAGACTTTACACAATAGGGGGTTGTATAAGGTAGGTATAAAGCTAACCTCTAGTACAAGATGACGTTTAGAATATTCTTCGTGAATGGATTTTATTTTCGTAAAGAAAGATATTTTTGAAATAGATATCTCTCTGAACTTTACCGTTACAATTTTCGAGGATAAGTCTTAATAATTTTTTGTTTAAGATTACTTTTATTTTCTGGTATTTCTTTACTGTTTGTAAATCATGTTTATATTTTTGCATTTTTGCAATCGGCTATTATAGTTTTTATTAAGTTGTATGGATCAAAATAAAAATTTGAGTTGACTTCCCCCCCCCCCTGGATTTTGATATATGGGCGCCCATGTATACAAGATCTTAATAACACCGGTTTTGATATATGTGGCTGAAACGTGAACCTTATAAAATACTTCTTGGTATGTTTAGAGAGAAAAATTCTTAGAAAGATTTTTGGGGCCGTAAATAAAAATGGCCTATGGCGTCGAAGATACAACTTTGAACTATATCAGTTATACACCGGTCCAGATATTGTGAAATTCCTTAAAATGCAGAGACTTAGATGGACTGGACACATTACTAAGATGTCAGATCACGAATACACGAAAAGATTAACATTTTCAAAACCAAAGGGCGCAAGAAGCAGAGGACGACCACGAATGAGATGGATTGATGATGTGGAAGAAGACCTACGGATTCTAAGGGTTAGAAGATGGAGGGAAGTTGGATTAAAAATAATATAAGGATTTTATTTAGAAATGAAGAGTCGGCGGGAAAAACGATGAAACTCCATTTTTGGACGAAAATGAGTTTTCGCAACAGAAATATAGGTTTTTGTGAGCCGGACTCATTGGTATACTTTGCAGTGGAAAAAATGCTTGGACTCACAAGATATCTACTGAAAAAGAAACCCTCTGTGGGGAAATAACGATAAGGTTCCTAGCGTAATCGCGAAAAATGATAAGGTCCCAATATTCCCGGTAATTGCCGACAGTACATTAGTCATCGCGTCAGTCAACTTTTGATGTTTATGAAGTGTGGTTTGTTATTAGATTCGCAGAAAAACTTATCTGAACGGTACAAGTGATTGTGACAAAAAGTTAGACTAGACCATTAAGTTTTGTGTGAAAATTATAGGGAATAATTATTTAGGTTCGGTACCACGGTGAAATGGAAGAAAACCCCAAAAAACGAAAATCGTACGGAAGAATGACTGACGCTGCTAAGAAACTAAGGTTATGTAGCCATGAACTAGGCCCTGACTGCAAATGTAAGCGTTTAAATTGTTTCGTAAATGTCTCGTATGAAAATAAGTTGCGAATATTAAGAGATTTTAACGATAATTATTCTACATATGACGAACAAAACACGTATCTTGCTGGCTTGATTACTGTTGTACCCGTAAAGAGACGTCATGCAAAAAATCCAGAGTCTGGCGTAAAAAAATTCAATGACGCCTCATATTCATTCAAAGTAAGGTGTACTAATGCAAGTAACGACCAAACACGGTTAGACATCCAGGTCTGCTACAAAAGGTTTTCTCGCATTGCATGGAATTTTTGGTCGGCGGGTACAATCTATTCAAAGGTCACTTAAGTGTTCTGGTAGCTCAGCACAAGATAAAAGAGGTTTACATAAAAATAGGCCACACAAACTTCCACACTCTATAATTGATGACGTGTGTAAACACATATCCTCTTTTAAAAGCAGATCAAGCCATTATAGCAATTCAAAAACTTCTAAAACATATCTACCTGAAGAACTAAACATCACCAAAATGTACTCTATGTTTAAGAAAAAGTTTCCACATACAAATATATCCTACGATTCGTACAAAAAAGTATTTAATGAAAAGTACAACATAAGTTGTACTTTTCATTAGCACAGTACGAGGTCCGTACTGCGCTAATTAAAATGAAAAACGGGCGATCTTCAGGACCTGGCAATATAGCTGTAGAGCTACTTAAAGCAGGAGGTCCACTCCTAATTGAACGAATAACTTTTCTAATGAATCAATGCTGCCAACAAATTAAAATACCATCTGAATGGAAAACTGCTCACCAAGTGTCCATCTTTAAAAAGGGTAATCGAAAAGATCCTAACTGCTACAGAGGATTGAGTGTCCTACCTACTTTCGGCAGATTGTTTGGAAAGATAATAAATAGAAAAATACAAGATGATGTAGGACATCTAATTAGCGAAGAGCAAAGCGGATTTACGCCTGGTAGATCTTGCACTGATAACTTGTTTATACTCCAACAATTAATAGAAAAAGAATAGCGGTTGGTAACGAAGTACATCTAGCCTTCGTCGATCTAGAAAAAGCGTATGATACAGTACCAAGGCCTAAATTGTGGCAAGCTTTACAACAACTCGGCATTAGTCCACACCTTTTAGGAATAATCACAGAAGTATACAGGGATAACACCACTTACCTAAAAATCGGAAATAGACTATCAGAGCCGATAAAAGTAGCTAAAGGACTGAGACAAGGATGCAGTATGTCACCTTTGCTGTTTAATTTATATATTGAGGCAGCCCTTCATGATTGGAAAAACCACTGCCAGGGAATGGGAATCCCAATAGGAAATGACGTACTGTTCTCCCTGAACTTTGCGGATGACCAAGTCGTTTTAGCTCAAGATTCTTATGATCTAGAATTTATGATAAAGCGTCTATACAGACAATATGTAAAATAAGGGTTAAAAGTCAGCATGAAGAAAACGGAATATCTAGTTATCAATTCAGATGCAAGGTTTGAAGTGTTGATAGACGAGGACGTGGAAATCACACAAGTGGAAAAATTTAAATATTTAGGTGCATTCATTGATAAGAACGGCTTGGGTGAAACCGAAATTAAACACCGAATTAATCAGGGACGTAAAATTGTAGGATGTTTGAACTCCTTATGGTGGGATCGCAACATTTCCAAAAGGAACAAAAAAAGAATAGGGCAAACGATGGTTGAATCAGTTCTTTGTTATGGTTCTGAAGTATGAACAATTAATGCAGACCTGAAAAGAAGATTGTTGGCAGTTGAAATGGATTATTTGAGAAGAAGTGCTAGAACATCAAGGCTGGAAAGGAAAACCAACGAATCTATAAGAAATCAGATGAATGCTACAGATACGGTCATAGACAGAATAGAAAGAAGAAGTTTAAAATGGTTTGGACACCTGTTAAGAATGCCTGACGAACGTTGGTCCCAAAAACTTCACAGATGGAAGCCCCCTGGTAGAAGAAAAAGAGGTAGACCTCGACGTTCATGGAATGAAGGTATTAGAAGAGCAATGGAATCGAGAGATTTGGAAGAAGAGCATGCCTTGGACCGAGAGGATTGGCGGAGGAGGACGGGAATACGGCGATAGCCGTCTCCAAGATGTATTCTATTTACAAATTGGATCCTGTAATATATATATATATATATATATATATATATATATATATATATATATACATACAACATAAGTTTCGAATATCCACGCTCCGATATTTGTTCGCAATATGACGAAGTGAATAGTCAGTTACAGACGCTACAGTCCAAAATAAAAATATCTACAGAAGACAACGAACTAAATAGTTTAAATGTACAATTTCCGAGGCTTGAATTTGATAGACAACTTCATTTAACTAAAGCTGAGACATTTTACCAGAGAAAAAGACAGGCCAAATTATCTGCAAGAGTAGATGTCGAAGTTGAAGCTATCTGTATGGACTTTGCCAAGAATTTGCCAATCCCTAATATATCCACCAACGACATTTATTATAGCAGACAACTCTCATTATACCGATTTAACGTACACGTGTTATCATCACAACAGAGTGTATTTTATGGCTATCCAGAAACCGTGGGCCAAAAAGGAAGTAATAACGTATGCTCACTGCTTCATCATTTTCTCTATAACTATTTAACCGCTAATGTGAAAACTTTAAAACTATTTGCAGATTCATGTGGAGGGCAAAATAAAAATTATACTATGTTCCGCTTTCTGCATCATGTGATTCACTATGAAAAACGGCTTGAAGATGTTCTTATAACATTTCCGATTCGGGGACATTCGTACTTAGAGTGCGATGAGGATTTTGGTATGGTTAACCAAAAAACAAGAACAGAACACCCAAGTGATTGGTTTGAAGCCATAAGAGCATCTCGTGTAAAACCTCAACCCTTTGACGTTGAAGAAGTGCCTCAGAAATATTTTCGATCTTGGGATAAACATTTAAATCCGCTATATAAACAAAAGTGTCTGTTTCCATCTAGACCAATAAGAGAACTGAAAATATCAGTGCAGCATCCAAGGCTGGTATATTATAGGGTTACTTACAATGGCGCATGGGATTCCGTCGATATAAGAGGAAAACAATTTTCTACCAAAAGTACCATGTTTTCTACCATTGTATACATGTATTACTTTGTTAGTTAAATAAATGTTCTATTAATTAATGTTTTGTTTTTAGGTTTGATACCACTATCCATTGAGAAATATCGGGATTTGACAAAGTTAGCTAAGTTTTGTGGGGAAAATGCTCAAGATTTTTTGTTGAATTTACTATACAAAAATACATCAGACCAAAGCATCAAAAAATAGAAAGTAAGAAAACAGTTAAAAGACTTCAAAATAAAATAAAAGTAATCAAAGGGACGCCAAAGTCAGTCAAAAAAAAAAACGAAGCAGGCAGAGAAGAAAACAAACACATAAAATTATCAAATTATTGTTAAAATGTATATATTATTAATGTTATTAAAATGTTTAATACAACTAATAATATAAAAGTCTTAAATTTTATAAAAAGTAAAAAAAAATAACGTCTAAGACTTCTTTCTACTGAATCTGTGGAGCTTCATCGTTTTTCCCCCATAAAAGCTAACGTTTCATTGAAATTTTATTTTTTATTAAAAAACTAATAGTGATTTTAATATCAAAATTAATAGATGTGTTCTTTTTGTATCTGGCTTGTTACTATTTCATTTTTATACTTTTTGAACGTTTTCTAATTAGTAGGTTTAAGTTTAATAAAGTATAAAAAATGCTCTAGAGCAAATTATGAAATTTGCGACATTCATCGTTTTTCCCGCCGACTCTTTAAATATAATTTAAATAATGAGATATTTAACCCTCTAGCAGATGAGCCAAAAAATTACACAAACGTGCGGATGAGGCATCTCAGGCCCCAAATAAAAAATTTCGAATAAAATAAAAATGAATTCTGTTATGTATTTCTATAATAGTAGACTTACTGTTTCAATATAATTGCAATATGCAAGATTTTTAGAAATAAACAAGCATATAAAAATTGTAAACATTTTTCGCATTTTGATTTTATTTTTAGTTTACAACGAAATAGGAAAAGGTAACCCAGAAGTAAAAATTTCATTTTAAAGAAAAAATGGCATTGTAATAATTAACATACAACAGTGTTTAAAACAAATATCCATACAGAAACTATCGGTAGTCAATTTCGGTTAGCACATTTTCTGCAGCATGCTGTTATGTATCCTGCCATTATCGACGAATTACGTGAAGCAGATATTATGAGTGGCACAGACGGTTCTTCGATAACCATCAGGCAACAATACCCCGATGCATATTAAAACATACAGAGAACACTTTACGTACTCAACTCAATAAGTGACAGCCCGGTTTGTAAGCGAGTCTGACAGACACCCTAAGTTTACAGTAATACTCCCACAATGTGGTACCTGGAGTGTTTCTGTTCGGCAAAAGTGGACCACCGTTTATACTATAAAGGGGCCACCAAATATTCAACGTTGAAATGTGATATAATGTAGCGATATGATCAATTATTAAAGAATAGTGACCAAACTCTTACGAGTTGCATACTATATTTTATCTGCGATCATAAGTTAATTATTTAAAAAAATCCAGAGTATATAATATACAGAATAAACTTAAAAGGACAGTTTGAACAAAATGCAGTCTTATCAGCAGTCAGTACGGAAAAGGTGCTGCTGACAGAGAAAATAATATTAAAATGGTAGGCAAGCCAAGGAAGAAATTGAGTAAATATATTATGAAAAAAACATATATTAACAACAAACGTAACCAATTCGGTTCGAACAAATTTTGTTCTTAACAGCATCCACCGCTAGTCGGTACGGTTACACAACCGCCGGGAGAGGTTTTGTTAGTATGGGACAAACAGTCAGTATGAAAGCGAAATGATTGTCTTTTCTCCATCACACACTATGAATAAACATTTTTATTAACTCTATTATAAGATACTTAAACTGAAAACTAAACTCCTATTGGGTAACTGGCTATTAAAAATATACTTAAAAATTAACTCCGGAAAGAAGACCATTAAGATTTGTCTATCGATTATCTTATTATTTTAGGTGGCAACACGAACACTAGATCCTAATGTAATAAGATCGGTTTATAATTAGCCAATGCTCCATATCAGATATCTTTGTGAATAATAAGTTTCAGTAGATGTTTCTTACGATCTGATGCTAGACAACTTTGTTACATTTTATTAAAAAGATGTCAACACGAACACTAAATCCTAATTTAATAAGACTGCTTCATATTTCGCCAGTGGTCCATATCAGACGTCTTTGTGAATAACATGTTTTAGTAGACGTTTTTTTTACAATCTGAGGCTAGACAAGTTTTTGTTACATTTTATTAAAAAAAGTGACAACACGAACACCAGTTCCTATTTTAATAAGATTGGTTCAGAATTCGCCAGTGCTCCATATCAGATATCTTTGTGAATAATATGTTTTAGTAGACGTCTTTTTAGAATCTGAGGCTAGACAAGTTTTTGTTACATTTTATTAAAAAAAAGTGACAACACGAACACCAGTTCCTATTTTAATAAGATTGGTTCAGAATTCGCCAGTGCTCCATATCAGATATCTTTGTGAATAATATGTTTTAGTAGACGTCTTTTTAGAATCTGAGGCTAGACAAGTTTTTGTTACATTTTATTAAAAAAAAGTGACAACACGAACACCAGTTCCTATTTTAATAGGATTGGTTCAGAATTCGCCAGTGCTCCATATCAGATATATTTGTGAATAATATGTTTATGTGAACACTAGATCCTAATTTAATAAGATCGGTTCATAATTCGCCAGTGGTCCATATCAGATATCTATGTGAATAATATGTTTTAGTAGACGTCTTTTTACAATTTAAGGCTAGACAACTTTTTGTTATATTTTATTAAAAAAAAAGTGGCAACACGAACACTAGATCCTAATTTAATAAGATCGGTTCATAATTTACCAGTAATCCATATCAGATATCTTTGTGAATAATATGTTTCAGTCGACATCTTATACGATCTCATGCTAGACAACTGCTTGTTACATTTTTATCAGAAAAATGCGGCAACACGAACACTATAGTAAAATTCAATAAGCGATGCAGGAAAATGTAAACATTAAATCGTGTCCGAACCGGTATGACCCGCCGATAACGTCGCCAGACGAAATAAAGATGGACATTTCGGTTAGTTTTTAAATATTTTTGAAGAACTGTTACTTGCATTTATGCATAAAATATTCATTAATTTTATAAATCGGATTATTTTTTCACTTACTATGTATTCAGTGAAAACATTAATTTATTTACTATGCAATAAACACGAATATTTGAGAAAAGAAAAAAAATAATAAAGTGTCATAATTATACTGTTACTTATCGGAACGAGTAGACTCATTTGGAACACCTTTAACAATTTTATCTGTTAAATTTATCGTTGTTTATATGCCCTGCATCGCTTAATGGAATAAGGTATAGATCCTAATTTAATACGATCGGTTCATAATTCGCCAGTGGTCTATATCAGATATCTTTGTGATTAATGTTTCAGTAGACGGCTTTACGATCTGATGCTAGAAAACTTTTTGTTACATTTTAATTGAAAAAAGGTAGGAACACGAACACTACATCCTAATTTAATAAAATCGATTCATAATACGCCAATGCTCCATATCAGATATCACTGTGAATAATATGTTTCAGTAGACGTCTTTACGATCTGATGCTAGACAATTTTTGTTACATTTTTATTAGAAAAATGGTGGCAACACAAACTTGATCTTAATTTAATAAGATCAGTTCATAATTCACCAGTAGTCGCTAACGGATATCTTTTGGTAGTCTTAACGTCTTCTAAAACTTATTGAACAAATTTTATGATAGCCTAATATGCTATACATCGTTTTTAAGATCTTTAAATTATTCAGTAACTCATAACAGATACCTGGTAACGTTGTTTTACTATAAAAATTTTAAAAGTCAACTACAATATGTGATAGAAAAACAGACAACTAAATAGACGCTGGAATAGTATGGAATAATAGGGAACGGAATACTAATTTATGAAAAATTCTTAAAAGACAAATTTAATATTAATATAAAATATATACATATAACTAAATAATAAAAAGCCGTGTATTAAAACTACAATAATCAATAATACTAACACTATAAATAAATTTATACATATTTTTAAATTTTCATTTTCTTATAACCAAAAGGAACGGAACTAAAATCTTCTAAAAATTTTCTTTTAGTAGAATGTGGTCGATAATTTTTATGGACTTCCTGTGTTATGACTTGATGTTCTGTTGTTCGTCTAACTTGTTTACTTATGATTTTAATACCTTCCGACTTTACAAGTACCATCTTTTTAATAGTATCAAAATTAATTAATTGCGAGTTTAAATAATTAAGGGAAATTCCCTTAACTTTGCAACAAAATTTTTCGTCACCATCAGGAAGTATGTATTTATAAGCATAATTTTTGGGGCCTCCAGAAACGAACGCTGAAATATGACCACCACCTAGCTCATCAGTTAAATCACCAATACAGTCACCGGTAGGAAGATCAGGCAGACCTTCTCTGGAAATGTACACAATTGAATCGGTATCATAATATAAAGTACGCTCGCCCACCATGTCTAAATAGGAATACAGTTTGAGGCGGGCTAGAGCCGTAACGTATGAGGCCAGAACGACGTTTACAGTGGAAGACATTGAAAATGCTTCTTCCACATACTCCCACGTAACAACCAGTGTTTCCTCGTTAAAAGGAACCACAGTATTTACATAGATCCAGGGATTAATCATCATAGCAAAGAATTCCTTAGGATTGTTTACAATAGAAGTTTTGGGAAGATTTTCTCGCTGTGCAAAGTTTTTTTCTTCGTCTGTTACACAACCAAGGGGCCATCCTGAAGCTTGCTGCTTGATTTTGATGAATTTATTCATCATGTCGGAAAAGAGGCCATTTTGATGTTTTTGACAATTCACGGGTTTCGTACGACCAGATGTCGTAGGTCTCAACTATTTTGTAACCCTTTTCCAAAGCTTTTACAACTTCTTCAATTACCCATGTCTCTGTAAGTGACTTCTGTTCGTCGGAATGCTGACATTCTCCTTGCATAAAGTCCTCGCCGCATTTACGACAAAGAACAAACATGCATT